CAATCAAACCAAGAGGAGCCGATATAAATCCGATTTATCGCCAGCCGCAGTCACTTTTACAGCTCTCCATAGCTCCTTCCCTAGCTGTTCTCCTCTGTCCCTATTTCTCATCACTCATCTGCTAACACACACACACACACACACACACGACGCACACACACACACGAACGCACGCACGTGCACACACATAACCATCCATGGTTCATACATTTTAAACCTTTTTTTTTAAAGACAATGTAAATATTAACTGCCATTATGATGACATTCTGTGGACATCAAATGATCAGCAGAAATGTCTTCAAGATAACTCAAGTCCAAAACCAATACTTACTGCTAGAGGACATGGTGCCAGCAAAATACACACAGTTGTGGTAATTCATTCATTCATCTTCAGTAAGCACTTTATCCTGCTCAGGGTCATGTTGGATCTGGAGCCTATCCCAGGAACAGTGGGCATGAGTGGGAATACAATCTGGATAGGACACCAGTCCAAGGCTGGGAGCCATGCACACATACATTCACACAGGACTCAGAGGAAACCCACATGGACATAGGGGAAGCTGGAGCTGTGAGATGGCAGCATTACTACTACGTCAACGCACCACCCATTTTACCCACATTTATTCCAAAATTCAATTTGCATTACTGTTTATTCACCTAATTCACACCACATATTGCTTCTGACGTCACTCAGTATATCTAAATCTGGACCACATGCATCAGGAAAGAGACTAAATACATGACAATAACACCTCACAGAACACAACATCCAAAAATTTAAGTGCCAGTGTAATTTAAACAGTCTATGTAGCTACAGTAAGTAGTATGACTAAATTAGGCAGGTAGCTAACTAGATAGCAAGCTTTTATTCTAGCTAGCTAGTTTTGCTAGCTAGTAAGAATAAATTAAATGGACTGCTAACTAGCAAGAAGGCTGTCTATCTATTTAGCTAGCTAATTAACTAACTAACTAAATAGCTGGCTAGGTGGCAAGATATGATTAAGGCAATCAATAACTTCCATTAGGTACATTGAATGCTAGCTACAGGAATTGAAGTAAACGAAGCAATAAAGGTCAACTTACTTTGAACTTTGACTTGATGTCTTTGTATTTTGCAAAATTTTGTAAATGGTACACATGCACAGTCGCTCTTGTTGACATACCACATTTTTCCTTGCAGTAGAATGAAAATCATGTTTTCGTACTTTGGAGTTCTTGTCTTTTAGGTGTTGTTATTATACACAACTGTAAAAATTTGCATTAAACGGAAGGTAGGAAGGTAGATAGAAGTCCCTCTACACACCTACACACTCTTATTAACATCAGGAAAATCTCCCCCACCAAACTATCTGTATTTAGGCATAAACAATGACACCTATGTCACTTGCTATGTGTTGACAAGGCCTGGAAGAGATACGGTGTCAGTGTTGTTGCCCTTATGCCACATTTATCCGTGTCCCCTGTTACCTGTCTGCAGGCTATGAATCGCTTTGGACAGTACCATTAAATGCCATGTCATTACCTGTTATGGAGTGATCCGCTCAGTCCAGCTGCCTCCTGCGACAGGTTTAGTGAATGAGTGGGATTGTGTTATTTGGTAAGTCCATGTGCAGGTGTATGTGTGTGCGCAGGTCTGTGTATATGCTGGTCAAAGACCAGTTCGAAAGACAGAATTGGCATTAAATTGTTGGGGAGTGCTGGATTAACTTTGACTGCTGCAGGAGAGTGCTGTTAGTGGGAGAAGGAGGTTGTGTTTGTCACAAAGCCGAGGGCAGACTGAGCTCTTCGGATAGGTGAAGACTCCCGGTGGGACATGCTGCCCGGCTAGGCAAGCCAAGAAGGAGAGAGAGGCTAAATTGAAGGTTTATTTATCCAATTCGCTGTCAAGGTCGGCACATCGAAGAGAGCTGGCCTCTGCGTGTGCTCACCAAATGCCAAAAAAAAAAAAAAATCCAGAGAATTGTTAAGAGAAAGAAGAAGGACCCAGAATCAATGACCTTTGTGCATCAGGCATCAACATGCCAGAGACTCTTAAGGCCATCCTTTAATGGCTATTACTGTTACCTTTCAGGATGGAAAGAAACAGAAATGGTCTGCCCCTTGGTCAGCTTAAATAACACACACACACACACACACACACACACACACACACACACACAGAGACCCATCTTACCATCATACACTTACAGAAAGACACCATAAACTTGTTAAATCAGAATGACTGCAGGGAACAAAAAAAATTCAATAACATTACAATCATTATTCGATTGCAATCATTTTCTTGGACAATTACAATCACATTTATGCGTATCCTTCACTTCTTTTTTCATTATTTTAAGCCTGAGACTATTTATAGAGCACGTGCAAACAGTTCAACGGCTTATGTCCCCTTGATTGCTGTTACCTGCTAATTGCAAATGGAAACAGTGGATTTGTGAGATAATCAGCCTAACATATGGCACACAGGTATTGTTTGTCTAATTTAATGAGAGATTAAAAGAAAAGAAAAAAACCCCAAAAGAACAGCTAAGCTTCCTCCACATACATCCTTCAAATTACATTCACGTACATGTAATTAAATGGGTAATGTGTGTTAAAGTACAGAGCTTGTTTATAGTCATGAGCTTGGGCTTTAGTTGAGAAATTAACATGATGTAATATGGTGAAAATGACAGACTGAGCTGTAGTAGGCGCAGAAACGTTTCAATTAACCTTGCCCTCCAAGTTCTCAGCTCTGAATTCAGCTTGATGGTTTGATGTATGACATCGCCAGTGGTTATTTTTCTTTCCCTTTTTTTTCCCCCCACATGAAATGCTCATCTGTATAATCCCGCGTCCTTGATCTTTGTTCTTGTTCTTATTCAGTAAAAATATCCAAGATTCTCTAAGGGTCAGTTAGGAAAAAAACACCAAGATGATTACTAAGGTCATACAGCACCTACACTACAAATATACAAATTAAAGTGATACTTGTTAGCTCCATTATGTTTTATTTTTTCTTCTTCTAATCAGTAGAAGTGTAAAACATGAACATGCTGATATACTGTACAATTTTCTGCATTTCTCAAAAAAAAATAATTCTCAGTTCGTCCATTGTCTCAGTCAAATGGTGTTTCTTTTTTCATCCGCCTTCTCTCTGTTTCTTGCCTTTCTAATTACTGTGCATGATCGAGCCGACACAGGTTTGACGGGAAGCTTAATTCTGTTTTTAGTGAGCAGACGGATGGCGCGCTCCTTCAGAGGGACCTCATCGTCAAAGTTTCTGAGGGCCCTGTCAGCGTGAAAAGAACATGACCTTTAAGTTGTATCAGCATGTTTGCTGGTGCATACAAGGGAGTAGAAAAAAAGGTTTCCACTACGTCAGTATATTTAAGCACATTTTCTGTGTTCAAACGTTCATGCACTGAATACTAACGCTCTAGTATTTACAGCTTATTGCACGTAACTTAACAGCATTTTCATGAGCAGAATCTGCTCTGATTCAGCTCCTATATCTGAATTTAAAGCAGGACATTGTGTTTAAATAAGGCTCAGGTTTCTTCACCCCAGTGTCTGGCTCAAACCTTAAAAGTAATCTACGCTTCTTAGATATTACGCAGAAAGCCTGTGACTGACTCAGGCTCTTAATCACAGCCAGTGCATGAATCTACACCAGAGTTGATAGAATCCAGAGACATGAGGATCAGACAGAGAGTAGCAAGAGGAGCAGATCAAAATTTTTGTCCTTGCTTTTATAGGTTTATTAAAATTTTACATGATCTGTACTGCTGGTGAAGTAGCAACTGAATCACCAGCAAAGCTTTTCTTAAGAATCAGAATTTGTCTGCCTGCAGGACAGAGGAAAACAACAACAACAACAACAACAACAGACATAGCAAAATTCTGACTTGATCTCTTAGACATAATAAATGCTCTTATTATCTGAACGTACTGTATATAGTGAATAATCCCTACTGAGTGTGTGTATATACAGTATGTAACTTTTCAGCATATTTTCTTTGCCTGGATACATTAGCATGCAGCACCCTGTAGTGTTTCCATTTCTGTAGGCTGTGGATTAGCACGCTTTGCACTTTTATCAGCAGACTCAAAACTGCTGCTCAATGGGTCGTTCCTTTTACTCATTTCCATTTTCTTACATGTATGTGCTAGGCAACGTGATGCTGATGCTGATTGGTGGAACGCTCTAGGAGATGACCCGTTTATTTATTTTATTTTTTTCAATCTTCCCAACTCTTCCATTTCAGATAGGCCCAGTCTTGGGATATTTACTTTTACAATAAATAAATAAATAAATAAATAAATAAATAAATAAATAAATAAATAAAAAATATATGCGCCATGCTTAAGCACTATTACACTGGACCTATACTAACTAGGTACAGGGTTGCCAAGTCTGCGTAGCCATATACCCATATGGAAAATATACTGTAGGATTTTTAAAATACAATCTTGAAATGATACACACATTTCACTAAACCTCAAGGTCCTAAAATTAACCTTTGTCATTACATATTGTCATAATTATTGAGTAACCTTGACAATGAGTAAACTGATTCACTGATAGCAAAAAAAGCATATGCATTCATGCAGAGGATGTCGTGAACAGAAAACATTGGCAATCTTGCATAATGGCTGTTCTCTTGATGTAAAAACCATCACTAGATGAAACAAAAAAGTTGCATTCAGTGATTGAAAACACACGCACACACACACACACAACACACACACAAAATGTCTGAGTGCAGAGGCGGCCAGAGATGAAGCACAATCAGTGGACACTGTGTGGGTGTTGAGTGATGACCAAACAATGGCAGAGAATCAACTCACCATGAGACTCAATAAAGCAGCACAAGGTCACAGGACCACTGTCCATCTGAACATATGCCTGTATGTGTCCTTGTGAGTGTGGGTGTGAGGCTGTGTGGGCCGTTATCACACACATAATACACTGCCAAATCCATGTATCAGGATAAGAGCAAGCAAGCTTCACACACTCAGGGCAGAGGAGGGAATCAAACCCCCAACCTCAGGGGTGAGAGGCAAACCTGCTGACCACTAAGCCACCTAGCCCCCCAGTTTAACCAAATATTACATTATTATCATTTTTTTTTTACTTTAAAACAAATGATCAACCTGTCTGATGTTTAATTATAAAATTTTTAATGAAGCTAAGGCTATTAAAATGAAGCTTATATTCTGCCATTATGAAAACTGCATCACTAAACCACTATGCATTCACTTGCTTTGTGTAATACCAAACTATTGATTGGGAAAGTACGTGATTCTGGCTTCAAGAAAACTGCTGCTCCTGTTTTCTTTTCTTCTTTTATACTATATCCACTATACGACCAAAAAGTATGTGGACACCTGAGCATCACACGTATATGTGGTTCTTTTGAAGTTTATATAGACATGGTTTGCAAAAGGTTGGTGTGGAAGAATTCGAGTGTCCTACACAGAGCCCTGACCTCAACCCCACTGAAAACCTTTGGGACGAATTGGAATGCTGACTGCAACCAAGGTCTCCACGCTCAACATCAGTGACTAAAGGCTAAACCCTAAACCCTAAACTCACCCAACATCAGTGCCTAAACCTTAACTGTGCCCTACATTGTCATGAACTACACAAACAAGTCAATATGAGCTTACTTAACGACTGAACACAGTTTTATAGTAAGTGTCTGCTGATTTAGACATGCAGACCTGCACAACATTAAGCTGATGGATATAAGCTTCTATTGCTTGTTATCCTCTTAGACTTTGATACATGCTATTATAAGAAAATAATCAATGGTGAGATGGTGTGATGTGACCTGACATGAAGCAGGGCTACTGATATTAGCCTGAAGTTGATTCTTTTTCAGTAACAGCATGTCTTGACATTATTATTCAACAGTTCAAAAAAAGAAGGATACTTTGTACATTTTACAGGTGTAAAGGAAATGTGGAAAAATAAATTAAGGGAATGGGAAATTAAATTAAATAATATAAATTATATTTGAAATAATGAATGAAGAAAAGCTGAAAAGCAAAGAAGAGATGGTTTACTGTGACCGTGACAGGGCAACAATGTTCTCTTCCATTACGTGATGTGTTAAGAAGAAGAAGAAGACTTTATTTGTCAGATATATATTAGAGCACGGTGAAATTCTTTTCTTCACATATCCCAGCTTGTTAGGAAGTTGGGGTCAGAGATGATACAGTGCCCCTGGAGCAGAGAGGATTAAGGGCCTTGCTCAAAGGCCCAACTGTGGCAGCTTTGTGGTGCTAGAGCTTGAACCCACAACCTTTTAATCAGTAACCCAGCCCGAAGAGCCACAAACATTTAGTGCATAGTACAAGAATGCCAATTGGGTTGCAGCATTGAAGTTACAGCTTTAACGTCACGAGTGCCCTCTCAAGCAAACATATGGCCATCTACATGGGCCTTTATCACAGGACCCACACCGGTTGCTACACGACATCCTGGTGCTGGTAATCAGCCTAAACATGCTGTACCTGGCCATGCCTCATTATAAGCCCTCTGAATGTTTCACTCTGTGTGCAGACATAAATCTCTACCATGTAATAGCGTAGCACCATGCTACTCTGAGCGGAGAGAGAGAGAGAGAGAGATGGAGATAGAGAGAGAGAGAGAGAGAGAGCATATTAAAGAAAGGAAAGAAGGGGAGAGAATGAAAGAGAAAACATTAAGGAAAGGGAACATAAAACTAAAGATGAAGCTAGAAAGAGAAAATGTGACTTTGCGGTAAAGGTTTAAATGCTTTACCTTAAGAATGATTTGTTCCATTATAATTTGGCACTTTTCAGCTTGGACAGGAAGAAGGCCAATTTGGGTTATAATTTCCCACCTCATCACGGTACTCTTTGTGTTGATCCTAATGGTCGGAAGGTATGACATTTCTCACTGCATCAAGCACTTGGCTCCCTTAATGATATATCATCTTTTCCGGGACAAACGGGCTCTAATCTGTGCCTCTGCTCACATCATGTGCTGAAACCCATAACAACAACTTTACATCTGACTGTTATAAAGTGCTGACACTAGATAATCCTGCCAAAAATGCTAAATAAATGTCTCCTCACAGACATCTATATCAACATCTGAGCTCCGTTATCCGGAATATACTGTATCTTTCAAATACGATAGATGAATGCACTAGCAATCACAGGATGTGTTAGCAAGTCCACATATCAAATGCTAACTCCTGCAAATGAACCTAAAGCTAAGGACATTGGGTTTTTTAAACTGTGACACTGACTGGACATAACTGCAAAAAAAAAGTTATCTGAGCAAAGTGAAAGTATCTTGAATATAGTCAAATTCATTTAGTATTTCTTATTATATTATTTCTTCAGTGAACACTTATTTAGCCAAAAATTTATCCCCAACCACCCACAACAACATTCTGCACTTACTCTGGCTCTTCCACCTCAACTCTGTACTCTTTTCTTCTCTCTAACGTAATAAAAAATGTGGTATGATAGCACTAATTGTATTGTTCTCCACTTGATATATTGCTTTACTTGTATTTCCTTATTTGTAAGTCACTTTGGATAAAGCGTCTGCTAAATGAATAAATGTACAGTGCCCTCCACTAATATCGGCACCCTTCGTAAATATGAACAAAGAAGGCTGTGGAAATTTGTCTTTATTGTTTAAACTTTTAACAGATTTATCAAAAGAAATATCTTTGTTAAACTTCGGATTGTAGTTTTGGAGATTTTCTGACCCCAAGAGACAACTGACTTCTCCAATTCTCCAGCTGTGATCCTTGGAGATTTTTTGGCCACTCAAACCAACCTCTTAACAGTACATTGAGACGATACAGACACACGTCCAATTCCAGGTTGATTCATAACATTTCCAGTTGACTGGAACTTCTTAATCATTGCCCTGAAGGTGGAAATGGGCAATGCTTCGATGCTTGTGCTATTTTCAAATAGCAACTTTTCCCATTTTGTGAAGCTCCACAACCTTTTACTGCACATCACAGCTATATTCCTTTGTCTTGCCCATTGTTATGAATAACTAAGGGAATTTGGCCTATGTATTAACTCATATTTATACCCCTGTGAAACAGGAAGTCATAGTTTAACAATTTCCTGTTTCTATTCACCCAGGAACTGGGTTTTAAAGTTAAAACAATTTAAAATATTAATGGGAATATGAGAACTACAGCTGAGGTGGGAGAGCCTGTCCATAGGACAACAATCAGTTGTACACTGCACAAATCTGGCCTTTATGGAAGAGTGGCAAGAAGAAAGCCATTTCTCAAAGATATCCATTAAAAACACTTGTCTAAAGTTTGCCACAAGCCACCTGGGAGACACACCAAACGTCACACCAAACGTTGAGAAAGGCTTTCTTCTTGCCACTCTTCCATAAAGGCCAGATTTGTGCAGTGTACGACTGATTGTTGTCCTATGGACAGACTCTCCCACCTCAGCTGTAGTTCTCTGCAGTTCATCCAGAGTGATCATGGGCCTCTTGGCTGCATCTCTGATCAGTCTTCTCCTTGTCTGAGCTGAAAGTTTAGAGGGACGGCCAGGTCTTGGTAGATTTGCAGTGGTCTGATACTCCTTCCATTTCAAAATGATCGCTTGCACAGTGCTCCTTGGGATGTTTAAAGCTTGGGAAATCTTTTTGTATCCAAATCCGTCTTTAAACTTCTCCACAACAGTATTACGGACCTGCTTGGTGTGTTCCTTGGTCTTCATTATGCTCTCTGCGCTATCAACAGAACCCTGAGACTATCACAGAGCAGGTGCATTTATACAGAGACTTGATTACACACAGGTGGATTCTATTTATCACCATCAGTCATTTAGGACAACATTGGATCATTCAGAGATCCTCGCTGAACTTCTGGAGTGAGTTTGCTGCACTGAAAGTAAAGGAGCCGAATAATTTTGCACACACCACTTTTCAGTTTTTTATTTGCTAAAAAAGTTTAAAATATCCAATAGATTTCGTTCCACTTCACAATTGTGTCCCACTTGTTGGTGATTCTTCAAAAAAAATTTTTTTTTATATATTTATGTTTGAAGCCTGAAATGTGGCAAAAGGTTGAAAAGTTCAAGGGGGCCGAATACTTTCGCAAGGCACTGTATGACAATGGTAGCCTATTGACTCACCCAAGAGAATAAATTCCTGCATATAAAGTAATATGATTGGTGTGGGCGGTCGGCCCTTGAGTAAGTTGTCACTTAGGACCCTGATTCTGTCACTGATTCTGTCATGGCCCTGATTCTGTCACTGATTCTGTCATGGCCCTGATTCTGTCACTCTGATTTAATCGCAAGTGCTCATACACAGTAAACAGGAATAAAGTGTTATGTTTAGGGAGTTGCATGAGTCAAGAGTGTCTATAGGTTTTTAAGCACTGCTTTGGTCTAATCACCTCTTTGACAGATGGCCTGTAAATCAGAGAGCGAGCCATGGCTGGTGCCAGTGAGTGTTTGATCTCATTCCAGGGCCTTGAAACAACTTGCTTATTTTCAGCTCAGTTTTGGCTCTCTGCTCAAATAAAACATAGAGAGATGAATGCGCTGACAGGTCATTGTGTGTCAAGCTGTCGCTCTGTAATGGCTACATCTCTCAGCTGGGGAGCCAAGATCTGCAGAGGAGGACAAGGAAGAGAGAGAGAGAGAGAGAGAGAGAGAGAGAGAGAGAGATGGAAGGACAAGAGATTGAGGGAGAGAGATAGAGATGGGTACAGGCAAACAAGGGAAAGAGAGAAAAAGAGAGTGATACAGGAAAACATGTAGATAGAAACAGACAAAGACAGTGAGTGTGCAAGAGAGGGTGGGAAAAGAACAACAGCAAAAAAAAACTAGCAAAAAAGCATAAAAAGAGGATAGGAAAAAAGAGTAAAAACAAGATTCTTCTTTTCTCAGCTCATGGCGCATCTTCTCCACAACCAAACACTTGTCATGTTGAGGGAGAAGTTGAATGAATTTTTAATGATATTGGGTACAACTGGTGCTTTGAAAATCCGCTGTACTTATTTTTTTCTGTTCGTTAGCCAAGGCTTGCTAATGCATCAGAAACCCTAGGAGCATGTCCC